TATACAGATACACATACACACACACATACATACGTCCAAAAATAATAAGGGCGGTACGTGGATACTATTCGCTACTATTGCGACCTCTATATTTAGCGAAAATTTTAGAGAACTCACAGACTTCAAAAACTGTCCAGGAACATCTCGACATGTACTGTAGGGGGGCCTTTTTTCAATGGGGTTTTGGAGGCTTCTGATTATAATTATAGGATAACGTACCCCCGAACCCTATTCTAACTACTAGGATCTCGCGGTTTAGGGTTTAGGGCTTTAGCCCCCTCTCAGTCCCTAAGCCCAGTACCCTAAACTCCCAACTTTTTGATTCTGCATAAAGAGCCCCACATGCTGTCAGTGTAGCCCCAAACCCTAAACCCCAAAACACCCTTGACCTCAGCGCTCTTTAACGCCTGCCTAAACCCCGAAAGGCCACAGCCCTAAAACTCGACTTCCCGAAACACCAAAACCCTGTAGAAATAGTCCTGCCAGCCCTTCACAAAACAAAGACTGACCCTAAAGCCCTGAGCCAAACAAGTGCTAACCCTACATCCATTGCTTAACAAACGAAACCAACCCTGAAACCATGCACGATTGCATCAAGAAGCACAACACTTGCGTATAACGCCCTACAACACAACCTAGCCAGGACCCTTCCTGTATCCTCAAAAAGTGGCATATACTCCCGAATAAGGCGTGTTGAGTTAGGGTTAATTAGGGTAATGGAGGGGCCTTATTAATTCGAATAGGGTTTTGAGCAATATTATACTATAACTATAATAAGGACTCCCCCCCAAAAAAACAACAACTACTATTGATAATCATTTTGGCTCCTGTAGAACTATAACTCAGGAACCCCAAACCCGAAACCCTCAACTCCAACTCAGGAACCGAGGCTGCCGACCTGGTTGTTCAGCCAGGACTTTCTGCAAAAGCTCTCGACACCCTCGGGCGTGGGCGAGACGGGGGTTAATCTAGGGGCGTATAACTATATGAAGGAACCCCCAAAATAGTATAGGTAATTATGCCGTCCCCTTTATTAGGTGGGTTTGGGGTTTAGGGGTTTCAGGGTTTAGGCTTGCGAGCAAGCTCAAAAAACTCACTGTGCGGGCTTTTGGGCTTAGGGCTTCGCAGGTTTAGGGGTCTGTGGGTTCTGTGTTTAAGGTTTAAGTGAAGGGATGAAACTGAAGGGTTTATGGGTTGAGGACTACCTAAACCCTAAACCATAAATCCTAAACCCTAAACTCTACACCCTAAACCCTAAACCCTAAACCCAACACCCGTCATGACCTGCGACCCGCTTCTTCTTGTAGGGTCTCCCGAGTTCGATCTGCACACGGGCGTATTCGGCATAATTTGAAGACCCGGCAAGAAGGTGGGTTCTACTTCTTTTAGGGTTTAGGGTTTAGGGGTTTAGGGTTTTTAGTTCAGGGTTTAGGGTTCAGGGTTCAGGCGTTTAGGGGTTTGGGGTTTGGGGTGTAGGATTTCGGGTTCAGGGTTTAGGGGCTTAGGGTTTAAGGGGTTTAAGGTTTTAGGGTTTGGGGTTTAGGGTTTAGGGTTCAGGGTTTAGGGGTTTAGGGTTCAGGGTTTAGGGTGTTTAGGATTTAAGGCGTTTAGGCGTTTAGGGCTTGGGGTTTACAGGTTTAAGGTTTAGGGTTTTGGGGTTTAGGATTTAGGGGTTGAGGGGTTTAGGGTAGCAGGTTGAAGTAGACAGTCTACCGACACCCCCGCACCCCCAACAAGCATGAAGGAGCTGCTATCGAGTAAGAGTACCTTGAAGGGAGCTCTGTAAACAAAAAAACATGCACCAAGATATACTCTAGACATTAGTTTGTGGAAACCCTAAACCCTAAACCTTGAAATGGTGCAACAACTCAGGGCATAGAAGAGACCATGACAACAAAGCACACCCCGACATGATCCTGCGAAGGCTCCAGAGCGGAAGCCTGATAACATAGATGCGCCAAACGCCTTAGGGTTCAGGGTTTAGGGTTTAGGTCTCTAGAGGGATCGGCTTCGAGATATAGTATACTATGAATGAAGTTATACTATATAGATGATAGCTACTACACCAACAAGTACGACCCACATATTAACTTAGGAATTTTGAAGGCTCTACGAAATCCCAGTAGTTCTTCGAAGGATTACGGTATCTAAACTAAGCCTGACACTGACAAGGCTCTTGCACTTCGGGGTGGGAATTCCTTACACTTTATTGGCTAACTTATTGACGAGGGGAGTATGGGATGTCCCAATCTTAAGCGCGGATTCTGTTCACGTGGCTCCTGGGTTTAGGGTTGGGGTCTTGGGCTCAGGTTTGAGGTCTTGGGAAGAGGAGGGGTTTAGGGTTTAGGTTCCGTGCCCTTTTCTACTCGTAGCGCACGGCTGCCTTCGCGGCATCGTGACCATGCCACACCTAAACATTTCCACGCCTTGTAGGCGAATTCTGATCCTACTTGGAACACAGATACCCACTGACTCCGAAACTTACAACATCCGACATAAACCCAAATTCCTCAACCCTCCCTAAACCCTATACCCTAAACCCTAAACCCTATAATCCTATAAACCCTATACACCCTAAACCCTATATACCCTAAACCCTAAACCCTATCCTCAACCTCTCAAGCCTAAACCGTAAACTCGCCAGCGCCAAAGCCTTGAACGCTCAACAGGCCGGGAGCTACCACACGACACCCTGAAGCAGCCCTTGTCTGCAGGTTTTAGGGTTTAGGGTTTGAGGTATTTCAGGGTTTTAGGGTTTTAGGGTTTAGGTTTTAGGGTATTTCAGGGTTTAGGGTTTACCTTAACCGACCAGAACCTACTTTTTTATAGGGTCGCTGTATATTCAATATATGGCTTATAATAAGAACCTACAGAAAAGTAGGTTTTGGTAGGTGAAGGTAGGGTGTAGGGTAAGAAAGTTTCTGTTTCTATGGCTTGTACTCAGAAGGTTCGTAACGTTTAAGGATCGGGGAAAATTTCTCGGAGTTGCTGTGTCATAGAAGCCATAGCGATTTCTAATGCGTGTCCAACCGCATCAGATTAGATGCGACTCCCGCAACAGGACATTCGTTCATGGAAACGTTTTAAAACTGCCTGGCTCCATCGGCACCAGAGGCCTCTTGTCACCCCCTTGGCCCAAGTCGTCGCGGCAACGTTAATCCTTACGTGTATGTGTGTAGTGAAAATCACTCTCAAGCATTGGGTCCGTAAGGAAAGAGCGGACATTTTCTGACTCCATACTTCCTATACCCTGGACCCTAAACCCCTAAACCCCAAACACCGAAGCCCTGAACCCTACTTATGACTGCATTTGCCTATCTTCCTAGGCGTTTTGGGCCGACTCCCGGCCATTCAAAAACCACCAACCTAGACTTATATAGGCTCACAGACTAACACCATGAAAGTAAGGCTTAGTAGGATCACCTGCAGGGCTTAGGGATGCTTAGGGCTCATAGGAGGGATGCTTACTTAAAGGATCATGGGACTTACTAAGTAAGGTTATAAGTCCTGTAATTAGGGTTATAAGTATAGTTACCTTAGTTATAACCCTACTTACTAAGTCCCAGGATCCTTTAAGTAGGGTGTGGCGTTTCGGGTTACCGGAGCTGCCAAGTCGCCATAAGATTCGCTCTATCGGGCCTTTGGGGTTTAGGGTCCAGGGGTTT